TTTTTTTTTTACGACACAAAAAATATTTTTTTTAGATTTATTTTGCCATACACAATAATATAAGGGACACCGTTTTCTTTGGCCCAAAAAAAAAAAACAAAAGACAATAGTATAAGGGACTAAGTAATAGTATTATTTAATGATTCTCAATGTTACCATTCAAATTTTTTAGAGTGAATAATGCACAAGAACACCTACAAATCTGCAACACATTTAAATATATACCACAAGGTCCATCAACGTACTTAATCGAGGAAAATGACACTAAATTGACAACTAACATCATTTTCTTTTCCTACTTTTTAATACTTAAATATATTATTGGGACTTTAAAATAATTCTTCAAATTTTTAATGAATGACCTCATAAATTGTCTTATAAAAAAAACAATTGATGATTTTACAATATATACACTTTGTTTTAATTAATCAGAATAAAAATAAATTCTTACGTTTTTTTGAAACAAATTTAATAGTATATCAGACTTTTTAAACCAAGAAAATTGTGTATCAAACTTTCAAATAGTTGTGAGCATGTTAAGTAAAGAGTTAAAGATTTTTTTTTAATTATTTTTAAAAATGCTAGACACCCTATACTAAATATCTTGTTATAATTGTATGTGGGTAACAACTATTTCACATTAGAAGATAATAAAAAAGATGATGAATCTATGATGAAATAATGATTTTGCTCTTGAAAAAACTATTTAGAAGAGATATTACCCTACCATCCAGTACATAGTGTTTAATACTCATAAAAAAAATGAGGGATAAAAATAATTTTTAACCAATATACTCTATTTAGTACTACCTCCGTTAAAAAATGTAAAATATTTTTAATTGAATCTCACTCCAATAAAATAGTTACCTACATTTAAACTGATCATATTTTTTTATATTTACTCCTATTAAGCATTTTATAATAAATATAAAGTTATTTATTAATAGGAATACTTTAAAAAAAAGATAATAATTATATCTTAAAACATTAAAAATATTTTATTTTTTAATATTTAATTTTTTAAAAAATATTTTATATTTTTAAATGGAGGGATAACTGATAATGAAGTGAAGTGTATCAAATAAATAAATAAATAAAAATATTGGTGGTAATTTAGAGGGATAGGGCGTGAAACCAAAACTGTCGAAAAAGGCAGTGGTCCCTATAATTATGAATGCTTATTGTGTCTCTCCGGCACAGTGGATGGACGTATCAACTGTGCGATTTGGTCCCGCCAATGTCACATCACATCACACAGTTAAGCATGCTATTATTATTATTATTATTATTTTATGACTATAAAAAATACTAACACTTGTTATTATATTAAAAAAATGATAATAAAATTCTTCTTAAATATATAAATAATAATTTAATCTTTTAAAATATTATAATTTTTTTAAAGTTTTAAAAAATTTTTTTATTATTAATAAATTTATATAAATTATCAAATTACTCTTATTAAAAATAAATAATTCATAATTTTTATTTAAATATTCACAATTTTATTTTTCATATTCGCAATAATGTAACAACAAATAAAAAATTTAACACTGTTATAATTTTCTATTTTATTATTGTGAATATAAAAAAAAGTTGTGAATATTTAAATAAAATTTTTAAATCATTTATTTTTAACAAAAAATAATTTAATAATTTATATAAATTTATTAATAATAATTTTTTTTAAATTTTAAAAAAATTATAATATTTTAAGAGATGAAATTATCAGTTATATATTTTAAAGAAATTTTATTATCATTATCTTTATTATATTTATATTTATATGAGTATGTTTTGAAATGAAGTGAATATAAGAAGCCCAAAATCAAACTTCCATGTGCTTCATTAGGTTTCCCATCATGTCATGTTCTTCGTTGGCCCATGGTCCACAACTTCACAAAAGAAGAAATGGCCCGAGGTCCATCACTCTATAAAAGAGGAAATCAATGATAGTTAAATTTTTAACAATTTTTTTAAAATAAATTATAAGTATTAATTTATATAATTGCGAATTCAAGAGTTTTAATTATATATAAGGAATTTAAATCTAAAATGTAACTTTTAGTTTATAACTCTTTTTGTCTCTATTATAAAGTACATATAACTATGTCATTATTAGAATTAATAAGAGATGATTAAGTCATCAACTTTATTTAAAAATAAAATAAATTTTTAATTTTATTCTTATTTAAATAAAAAAATTTTAAAGTTTTATATTCTCTCTCATAATTAATAAGTTTAAATTAGGATAATATTAGAAAAATATAATTAATACTCCATCAAATGTCTCATATTAAGAATCAAATAATTCTTTTAGACATTATCCTATAATAGAGGTTGGAGGAAGTATTTAAAATTTATGCTTGCAACTATTTAAATTAATATTTACATTTTATTTTTCAAAACAATTTATCAAGAACTTAATGTCATTAATTTTCTTTTTTCAGGATTTTACCATCATACTCCCTTGTGCTCACGTCCTTGCCAGATACGAATTCATATATGACACACACACACACACAAACAATTATATCATTTTTATATGTAAATATAAAAATCCATAATTTTTTCGGACAAAAAATATAAAATCTATAAGAAATCAAAATTTTCATGGATTATAAATAACGCAACTCATTTGTTAAAATCTTGATCTGATGGATAGCCAGTAGTTCTTTGCTTTTCCTTGTGTTGCCTTCGATTGAACAATTTTCTTATGAGTAATGAAATTATCCTTTTACAAAAAAAGAAAAAAGAAAAGAAAAGAAAAGAAAGGTGTGATTGATATTGCTAACTTGTGGCTCATACAGATGATAAGTTTGAAAACTCACATAAAAGTAATAAAAAAACAGTTTAAAAACTGGTCCATAAGAAAATTTTAAAAGCACGGTGAGTAAATAAAAAAAAAACTTATTATTTTCAATCTGACAAACAAAAATCAGTTCCTCTTGAAATATCCCGTAAAATTTGAGAGACCAAAACTGTAAATCATTTACATAAACAAAAATTAGGCAATGAAAGACTAAGCAAACCAAAATACAGACATAAAACTCATACTCAAGACATGAAAATCAGTGAAAAAAACATACGCCAAAATGCTCCAGAAAAGATGCAGTACCGATTGACGGAGCTCCATGAAGTTGCAATTTCTGCAGACCCGGGGTGAGAATTCAATCCTTGACACAATTAAATAAATTTAAGGTAGAGATAACAAACAATTGAAAAAATATTTAGTGAAAATTATTAGTACTGCATGTTTCAGTTTGTTAAGTTACTTAAGAATTTCAGTTCGAAAGAAAAGAATTACTTCAAAATTAAGACAGACAACAAAAACTTACTCGAGAACAAAAAACTTACCCAGTAATTAAAAGTATGTACTTTTGTCATTTACGCAGCATCTAAAAAAATGTACGTTCAAAGAATTAAATTAGACAGCAGTTGCATTAAAGTTTTTACAAACTATAATTATACTTTTAATTGAATGATGAAAAGAGGTAATATTATGTTTTATGAAATTAATATGCAATCTTAAAGAAAGGTTGTGGTAAGAGATAATATCAATTTGAAGGTTTTAAAATATTTTATTCAGTTTGAGTACATTATTTTACTTTTGTATAAACGGGAGAAAGTATTTTTGATGAGACCCTGAATTTGGAAAAACATAACAGAAAGTCACTATACTTTAATTGCATTTTATTTGTGAATTCCATAGTTTTATTTCATTATTCTTAATTTTTTTAAAAAAATTTAGTCACTCTGTAACATTAGTCATGGTAATTTTAAAAATGCACATCAAGATAATAAATTTGACCTGATGAAATCAATTTAGTTGTAACTTGGTTAACACATTCGCTAACAAGAAAATAAATTAGCTGAGGAAAGCTTTCTTATATATTTGACTTAAACAAAATGTGAAAGATGAAAATGAGATTAATTATAAGTTAGCAAAAGGATTAACAGAATAAAATATATGTAAGTAATATATACATATATATATATATATATATATTTAAACTGATAAAAGTAATCAAATAAAAAATACAGAGAATCTACTCCAGCATTTTGCCTCTGGATTATGAAGCCAGAATGCGTAGCCATTGTAGATTGGAAGACAGGGTAGCACCAGCAAGCAGCTCAGAAATGCACGTGCTTATGTGTTTCTGTGAAGAAAAGTTGAGAGATATCTTAATCATAGCACTGCCCACTCCTCAATCTTTCTTTACCTCTGCCCCCTGCAGCTTTTAACACATTCCCCCGAAAAGCCACACTGCCTTCTTCATCGTTCTTCCCACCATCCTTTTTTTCTTACAATGAATTTCATATTTGAACTCATTATTATTTTCATTCATATGTAGTCTATTATTTTACATAAATTTAAAAAATAAATGACTTTATGAATTAACTCATTTAATTTGTGAATTGAGTTGGGTTAAAAATTTTTCAACCCATAAAAAAATAGATCAAATACAATTTAACTCATATTTTCCTTAACTTATGTAGTCTCAACTCTACCTGTTTGTTTGTTTGTTTTCATAACTTGTAAGGGTATTTGGATAGATTTTGAACTCAAGACTGTTAACTTTTTCTTTCTTTTTCCTGAAAACAGATTCTCTCGTGAAAAAATTAAAGGCAAATTCAAATCCTTTTCTCATAATTGCACTAATACTTTCAGTACAAGGTGCGTTTAAAAATTACATGTCTTAAAATGATATAAACTTTGACCACAAGTTTAAATTATCCATTTCAAAAAGAAAAAAAAGCATAATTATTCATCACTATAATTTTATTAAATTTTTTTTTAATTTTTATAATTTCTTTTTGTGTTTTCTGAAAGAGACAAGGACAACACCTGAGGTGATGACCAATCACTGATGAGGTGGTTCAGCTGAACAGGAGACAGGACTCACTTTCGTCTTGGCTCACAAAAATTTGAGAACAAAATTTGCGAATGAAGACACTTCAATCACTGTAAGCTCCTCCAGAACACAACTACAGTCCCATCGCAATCACTACATTCTTAATCTTAAATACACTCTTTACACAAATTGTCCATGCCACGAGATAAAAATTTACCCGAGAATAAATGTTTCCCGGATACAACATAAATATTTCAAGAATTCTCCCCATTTCTTAGGAGGGCATTAACATAAACATGACAAACCTAGAATTAATCGAGAAGTGAAAGATCTCATGCTCTGCCATGTTGACTACCTTCTAAGATCACCAGTTGAAGAAGGAGACATGTCACCAGCAGCAGCAAGGCTCTCTGTGCAGCAAGAAGAATAGATGGAAACTTGATCCATCCCATACCGTGACCCGCTCACACTCTTAAAGCTCGGACTCCTCAGGCTATGCCCAAAACTACCATAACCAACATAACCACCACGACCATAAGCATCCCCAGGATGAGCAGGGAAAGAAAGCCTCTTCTTTGCTGACCCAACTCTGTCTCTCTCTGATGTTGAAGGCCTCTGCCTCGGTGCACTCAGAGACCGAATCCTAGCCTTCGCAGACTCGGTTGCTGCCATGTAATTAGGCAACGAAGAACCGCCACTATGGCTGCTTCCACCTCCACCTCTTCCCGTCTGGTACAAGCTTCCCGTGTAATGATAGTTGGACCTCAAGCTTGGTGTTTGAGATGTACTATGGAAGCTTCTGTCTTCCCTTCCACAGCGAGGACTCGCCGACCGGACCTGGACTGGCTGGGATTTTGCAGGAGAAGGGGTTGCAGAGGAATGGTGAAGAGATGATGATGATCCTGTTCTGTGAAATGGTGAAGCTACTGAGTGTCTTTGAGGTTGGTGTTGGTGTGGGTTATATTGATAATTTGGGTGTGATTTTCTGTAGTTAGATCCTAAATATGATGTGTAAGGACGAGATGTGTCCATTTCTACTGTCTTGATGGCGTCTCTCTGATCAACTGAAGCTCTTCCCCTCGTCTCCCATGGCCTCGCCGCCATCCACCGCTCCAGCCACGCCGGCCTCTCTTCCATCTCCTTTTCGTTCCCAATGGATGGCCTTCTTCCGCTTCGCCAAATCTATCGCATTGTTGCGCGGTTTGCTATCTATTAGCTTATGGTTTTGAGCTAACAAACATACAATGAAGAATGTAGACTAGTATATCTATCCCTGACTAACAACTTATACAGAGATTATACTATATACAGTCACTTTTGTTGCTGCACTACTACACAACAATATTGATTCGTTTGTTTTATATTAATTTTTGGACCTAAGCCAAACCCAAATGTAACATTGATAATTCAGTGGAACCAAACCAAATATCATATAGCTGGATAATATTTGAAGTGTCTGTTTGTAATTTTTATTTTAGAGAGTGGCATTGTTGTGTCTGTTAATGTGCTTGATAGAATGTGCGAAATTAAAAACAGAGGAGGCACAAAACAAAGTAATTGAGGAGAATGAATGAACCTGTTGAGAGAAAGCTTGAGACAAGGACTTGTCTCGCTTCAAAGCTGCCTCCTTCCTCTGCCTCAACATATCTTTAATTTCTTCAACCGTGTGTGGCCTTTCATCCCAATCGTCTGCAACACTGCTTCCTTCTCTTGACTGCTCCAACCAACACAGACCATCCAAATTTCAAACGCAGTCATCAAAAGTTCTGGCCTAACCATCATCTGGTTGAGGTTATTTCAAACCGAAGAAGCTCTTAACATCACTCACCATTGATCTTCTATCTGAGATATCCTGAAGATAACGGGATTCCAAGAGACTGTTGGTGTCGCTGAACGTGGATTTTCTACTGCTTCCGTCGTGTGACAACCTCACGCGCCGGTCAACCACCCGAGCTTGGACTCGAACCAGAGCCTGCATGCACCGAAGCGTCATCTTCGCTTGCTTCCGAACATTGTGGCCCCTCACTAATGCCTGCAATTTCACCAGCCCCTTCAGCGCTCGAAGAGCCCTTCTTGCCTTCAAAAGAAAGAAAGATTGGCAAGTTAGTATTCGATTTTCTGTTTCTCTCTTCATATAAAGAAAATGGGGGTTAAGATCTGTTTAGAGTATTGTCTTCTTGGCTTACTAAATATCCTCTGAAAGCAGTCTGAATCACAATAGCAGCGTCGTGCTCCGTAGTATGATTAGGTGGTATGGTAAGTCTGGCCACTTCCACAGCCGCCTGAGCAGTGGCCATGGCGGCCTCGGCGGCGGCGACCGCCACAGCCAGCGCGTGCTTTTGATCTGTGGCTACCTCGGCTGCATCCGACTTCTGCTCTGCCGGGGTTTGCTGGGAACTCGGTGATTCATGGTTTACGACTGGCTTTCTGAAGATCCATCTTCGTTTTTCTCTTTTCTGCACAACACCGTACCCAGAGAGCCAAAAATAAAGGAAAGAAGAAGATGAAGATAAGTCCGTAATTATTCTCGTTTCAGAGAAGAAACGGGAGATGAATGGGGTTAGTTTAGTTGGTGTACCTTGTCCTCGTCGACTTGCTCTTTGGTTGGAGATCTGAAGGCCCTTTTCACGGCACTCAACCATGAGCTACCTCCCTTCTTCTTCCCCATCACAGGATCGTACTGTAAGACTGGGTTGCATTAAATGCAGAGAACAGAATCCAGAAAGAGAAGAATCAATGGAGGAGAAAGGCGTACACAATAAACCAAGGAGCTCAGATTGTTTGGTGTTAATTAAATCTATGGGTGGAGTAAGCTTTGTCCTTGTGTCTGTGCCGGCTGGAGACACCCTTGCTCTGTCATGGGAGGAATTAAAATGATTCAGCTTATGACTAATGAAGGAAGCGGTTTGACCAACATTGATTTGATTTAATCTGGAATTTATTGGTATGGGATTTGATGAGCTGGGATGGACAGCAGGGCAGTGTCAGATGCATGATAGTAATAAATCATATTTTCATAATCCCATGTGAGATTGTTACATTAGATAAGATTAAGACATAGGAACAGTAGTTATTACAAAATGATACGACATCGAAGAATAAATGAGAGAGGGATGAATGATTGGAACAAAAGGAGACTTTAGAGGAGGGGAGGCGTAAAAGAAAGAGGCAACAAGTTGAGCAAACTGAGAGGTTCTCTCATGGCGTCACGTGCTCTCAACAGATGCCTCTTGGCCCAATCATGTCTAGGCGCGTATCTCCACATACTCTTTCATTCCATTAAACTAATCCCTACTTATCACCCTCACTGTTCACTGCAATATATTATTATTCTTCATTTGTTTTGGGTGTACTCAAGTGAGAATATGTTGTGAGCTAGAGAAATAAAATAAGATGATGGTGTTCAAATCTAGGGATGATTTTATTGGCATGCTTTTTTAATAAAGGGAATCTATGGAGGGCAAGCTGCAAAGGCATGTGGGCTGAGTTAATAAAACTCAATTGCGTCTTTCAAAAAGCGCAAAAAGATAAATAGAAATATTACAAATGTCCATGCACTAGTCAACTTAATAAAAGTTCCCAAATTAAATGGAATGTTGTGGGTTTAATCTTGATTGTAGATTCAGGATATTAATTTATATCCTCTTTTTTTTTTTTTAAGAAAAACAAACTCCTCACTTACTCTCCCATTGACGGGTCAAACCATTTGCATTTATTCATTAAGATGACATTTTTCATTCTAGATCTTATAAACTTACAAATATATTTTTATCCGAAAAAAATTACATATAATCCCTATATAAAAAAATTAATTATTTACAAGTCTCATTTATTTATAAATATTGAAATTTAATATGTAACTACAGAAGTTTAACTTGTAAGCAAGTTGAAAAAATAATTAATTTCTTTATTCATGACTTGATCGTAATTCTCGATTTTTATTTCTCCCCTAAATAAAAAATTCTTAGCATGCTCGTCCTTTATAGAGCAGACAGACATTATTCGTCTTTCAAAAATAATTTAAATTCAAATGCCTCGCCGCAATGTACGAAGTGATTGTGACTGTTGGAATTTGAGATGCAAATCATATATGCGTAGGGATTTTTTTTGTTATTGGTCATATATGTGAAGACTAATATTGACCATCGTTGGCACAAGACCGAACTTGGAAAAGTTTTGTTTCATGTGAAGGACCACTAAAAATTCAATTCTTTTTCTGTCCAATAATTTCATAATTGTCAAACTCTTAAATTAATTTTTTTAAATTTAATATTTTTATATTTTTAATTTATAAAATCGTGTCAACTCACTCATAAACTTAAATTAAATACAAACTCAATTAAATTCACGAATTTACTTTTGAATTTATCATTTTTACATTTTTAATTTATAAAATTATATTAATTAATTCAAAAACTCAGGCTAAATGTAAGTTTAGTTAGACTTATTAAGCTCGTTAATTTTTTTTTTCTAGTTGGGCAAGTTAAATGTATACTGTGAAGATTCCAATTCATAAAAGTTATAGGATCTAGTTCAAATAAAAAAAACTTAAAATGCAAAAACTTATTAATAAAAATGAAAATAAAAAATATCAAAAATAAGTTTTTATATATGATAATTTATTAATATAGATGCATTTAATTTTAATAATTTATATTTTAAATAGATTTAAATTGAAGTATGATTACATTTTAATGACTATTTATTAATAAAAATAAACTCTTATAAATTTACAATTTGAGTTTGTAACTTAAATTTACATTCTAGTTACAAGTTTATTCAAACTGATGAGTTTAATACCTTAAATAACTCAATTATATTAATCTCTCAAATCGGAACAAAAGATTAGGAAGGCCCTACTAAATTTATGGGCTTCAATTAGCGCCCAAAAAACTAGGTAAGCTTCCATTTCTTTTTTGTTTTTTGTTTTTCAACTCTTGCCACGAATCCAGTCAAGTAGAAGATATTAATTTCTTATGATGTGATAAATTAAAATTTAAATTCAACAAGAAAATTGTTTATCTTTACTATTTGATAATGTCTCAAATAGGATCCCAAGGATACCCATAAAGGTAGGGGGGTCTTTCCCTTTCAAATCAGCCCTAAACCCACACGGCCATGCTTGAAGTATATTAATTTACATACCATGATTTGGCGTAATCAAAGAAAATACCACGTGCTTTATATCAAAGAAAATCCAGTGCGTATACTGTGTCTTCAAGGTTTTCTTTTTATTTCTTTTCTAGTTTTCTTCACACATATAAATTTATATTAGCCTACTTGGCTGACAAATGCAGTGAGATGTTAATATCAATTGTTATATAAACAAATTCAAATAATAACTAGAATTACGAGGAGATTATGAAATTCATGAGTAAGCGGTTATTGATAGGTGACTAAACTAAATACTAAAAAATGGGAGAAGTATTTGTAATCCAACTAGAACATAGAGTATTTAAGAAAATTAATTATTGGTGATGTTAAAAAATAATAAAAATGAACCATCTCTAAAAAAAAAAACCCACTTATGCAGCATTTATAGTTGATCGGCCTAAGAACGTTGTGGGCCTGAATAGCTTTGGGCGTAAAGGTGTGGGGGGCAAATAAGTGAACACGGAATCTGCAAGCCCAAAACATTACGTTCTAGCAAGTAGCAACACTTCCGGGAGAGTTCCCAACTGCCCATGGTGCCCTTTATTTATCATTATTTGTAATTATTTCCTTTTTAGCGACATTATAAGGGAACTAAAGTAAAGGATTTTAGGACAAATGGAGGTTGGGCCTAATGAAAGAGGCCAGTCTCTCACGACTTAACAAGCCAATGTTTCAATTTTCATTAGAAAATGTGCCTACATTTAAGGGGTTCTAGGACTTAGAACGCTTTGATTGAAATTTTCACACCCCTACCACACCTGATGCCTGTGAAGTGGTTCTCACATTTCACACAAACAGATAATATTCACAGCTGATAAACAATATGATCTGCGACTCATTCCTATTAGCTAAAAATCCACGATAAGTTCAATCACTTGCTTTTTGTTAATCATAGGAATTATGACAGTATTTTATAGCAAGTTTTCATGTCTGGAATGAGTGAAAAGGTAATGAGTGAGTACATATGCTTGTGACGAGTCTAATAAATAGATGACCCGAAGTATGTACCGTCATCCGAATTACTCGACAAGAGTTTTTTGTTTACTCGACAAGAGTTTTTTATTAATTTATTGAGTACGACGATTATTTTTAACAGTTATAAGTAATTAAGTAGATGAGAATAAGCATGCTATGTATAGTTTTCAGAACACATCAAGTCATCAATAGATTAATACGTATAATAAAATTTCAAAGGTGTATTATTTAATTTGCAAGTGTAAAGAGGGCAATTTATTTTTTGGAAGTTTGTGTAGAATATATGAAATATCTATTTAATAATGAGATGATGATATCTTTGTGGAGAAATACTTAAGTAGAATTGGTTGCTCCACGTTATTTGTAGTTTATTCAATTAAAATGCTTTAAATAATGTAAAAAAAATTGTGTGACACTATTTTAATTAATTTTATTCTTATAATAGAATTCACATTTGATTTGTTTCTTTTTATCTTTCTACTATTATTAATATTATAATTAATTTATATTTAATGATATCTAACTGGTATATTTTTATTAGATAGACCACAAATGACGTGATATATCTGAATTATCTAAGAATTTTTTTATCTTTGGGACACCAGCTCCCATTTTTATGCAATAAATTGAATCTATCATTGAACCAAGTTCATGCATCTGAATTCTTCCTATTCCCTGAACCCAGGAGATAAAAATTAATTGATCAGATGAAGCAAATTTTCAAATCGGTTAGCCACTTCTTTTTGAGTGTAGGTTTGATGCAAAACTTTTTTTTTTTTTTTTATCACTACCACGAACGTTTACTCTCTCCTTTTTTTTTCCTGTTCTAATGTTTAAGGATTTAACTTTGACAAGATAGGACTAATTAAGCAAGAAAAGGAGCAATTCTTGAACCCAAACAATGAAAGTTTGGTCTTAGCGGTGGTTGATTGACATTGATGGAATTTAATTGGCAAAATGACACGAGGTTCGCATATAAAATCTATAAAATTAGCACATTTAGGCACACACTCTCTCTATCAGATTTTATTTACAAGGTAGATATAATTTCTTTAATCTTATTTTCATACAAGCCATGTCATTAAATTTTATCACAAATTTCTCACTATGTCCATTAACAGTTTAGTGAGAGAAAATTTATTATAAAAACATGTATTTATTAGTAACAATGCTAAAATCATACTAAATTTTTAGGTAAGATTAATGAGTTTTAAATTTTTTTGTAGTTTTTATAAAATATGTTAAAAGTGACTTGCAAATAAAATTAAAAGAACATATTAATACATAAAGTTGCATTACTTATCAATCATGCACAATACTCCCTTTGGTCCCTATTATAGAGAACTTCCAACTCCTTCGTTGAGATTAAGGAGTAGTTTAGTTATTTACTCTATCTGAAAATAGAAAAAAATTAATTTTACTGGCCCATATTTAAATGAATTTTTTTAAATTCACATTACATTTTCTCTCATTATCAATGAATTTAAATATGGAAAATATTTAAAAAATATAATTAACATTCTATACTGTACCACATATTAAGAACAAAAAAAATGCTTCTAGAAAGTAATAAACACATTTAATCATATCTAACGATCCAGATTCTAAATATTTATTTTAGATCAAAAAAAGATTTTAAATATTTATATAAAAAATGCGATAAAGTTATTATAAAATTTGATAAAACTTTCTCACAGTTATTATTATCACATCTAAACAAAGGCCAATTTTTTATGTCATCTTACAAAATTATTAACGAGGAGTGATGATAATTTTAAGATTTGAAAACAATGATATTTCCTTAACT